GTAAGATATTACTGATCAGGATTTCAGGCAAGTATTCAATAATACATGGAGAAACTACTGTCAAGCTAGGTATCTTTTCCACCCATTTCTCAAAGTGCTTACAGTCCTCAAATAAAGACTAGCAAAGCTCAAATAAATATGAATAAAGTATATCTGATCCTGAAGTATTTTTTAGTAAAAATCAAATCAAGAAATGTTCATTTATTTCCTGGCAACTGTTATTCATTATGGGACTATAATTTGTTATGTTATGGGACTATATTTATTTAGAAAATTGTCATTAAATTAGAATTTATGTTCAAGGAATATTTATTAAAAACATAGAAAATAAAATTCCCTGGCAACAATCTTTTTGCTCTCTTTATTATTTAATTTCCACGTAAAGGGTAGTGAAGCCTCAGTGGCAGAAAAAAATAACTCCATGCTTTGGCTTACTCTGTATTTGTAGACTCATTATCTATGATGCTTGGGAATTTCTCAGCTCAGAGCTGTGCTGATCACCATTACCATCATTAACACTATCAAAAAGCATTTAACACATGTCTACGTGTAGTGGCATTGCACCAAGCTCTTGGGAAAAAGTCATTAAGACACTTTTCCTGCCATTTAAAGATTTATATTCAAGTAGAAATCCTATTTGGAAAAGTGAATACATTAGAATAATAAATAATTAACAGTATTTTCATATATGTTCTATATATACTCTGAGAGTGGAGACTTTTCCCCCATAATTTACGTTTAAACCCCTAATGTTTAGACCTGCATGGAAACCTAGTACATACTCAAAAAATGTGTGTTGATTTCATTAACTGATTGATTAGAGTATCTGTATGAGAACATGAACACAAACTACAGTGGATAAAAAGGCAAGGAAGGGTCTCAATTTGTACTAGTTGAGGATAACCATATCATGAGATAAAAGATTCATTAAAGTAAAGAACTATCATTGTATATGAAAATAAAATGAAAAGTTCCTAACATAGTGAGTAAAAGATGAATGATAAAAATGAGGCATAGACTGACCAGGTTGAGATGGAAAACACTGCCTTCTTTTACATTAATCTGAGCAGATTTCATGGCAAAAGGGAATTAAAGAACAATTTGAAAAAAAAAAAACAAGAGGAGAAATCATGAAACTGATGTGGAAAGAATGTCCAAAACATAGTAGTATATACATCCTAAACCAGTCATGTCAGAAATCTGAACAAATAGTATGGCATAAATTTGACTTAGAAAAAGAGGGTGATTGGATGAAGAAGAAAAAAAAAAGACAAAGGAAGAGAGTGAAGAGCTTTGGAGTATGAAATACTTGGAGGTGATCCAATGTACAGCAATCAGTCTCTGAGACAGAACACTTAAAATTATGATGGCACAAACCAAACTATGAACATAGAAGGACATATGGTTGTATGAAATTTAGTTATGAGGCCTTGACTTTGAGTAAAGAGCTATCAACCTACCTTTTCAAGCAGACGCTTTCACATTACTGTACCTCAGCTAATGGAAACTGAGATATCCAGTAGGGTTCTAAAGAGATGAAGCCAAGAAATGGGTAGTAAAGAGAAGTAATGACTACAAAACAAGGAGGGAAGACCAGTAGAGAGGATGATATGCTCAGTGGAGAACAGAGATGTGATACTTGAGATAGCAATAACAAGTATTGATATGGTGCTTTAAAGTTTGCAAAGCATTTCTCATGTTATATCATATGATCCTTGCAATAACCCTATGAGGTAGGTGTTATTATTATCCATATTTTACAGATGAGGTGAGGCTGAAAAAAGTCAAGTCACTTGTCCAGGGTTTCAGAATTAATGAGGGTATGAGCATCTGAACTTAGGTCTTCCTGATTGTAGCTATAACCCTCTATTCATTTACACCTATCTTGGTATAAAGAGACAACATTCTTGGGAATGAAAACATGCTCAGTGGAAAGGAGAGATGTGATTCCCATTAGAGCACAGCGGAGAATAGTGTGATGACATCAAAAGAGGAAACCAGCAGCCCTATTGTATTAGTTGTGAGTTTCTTTGGCTACAAGACCAGTCAGGAAGACCAGTATTTAAGTTCTGCCTCAAAGGTAGAGAGATAAATGATAAATAGGTATATAGATACTGATTTAGGTGACATAGTGGATGAAGTGCTGGGCCTGGAGTCAGGAAAACTCTTTCTGAGTTCAAATCTGGCCCCAGGCACTTACAAGATTTCTGCCCCTGGGCAATTTACTTAATCTTGCTTACCTCAGTTTCTTCATCTGTAAAATGAGGTGGAGAAAAAAAATAGCAAAATCACTTCAGTATCTTTACCAAAAAACAAAACAAAACAAAACCCAAATGGGGTCATGAAGAGTTGGACATGAATCAAAATTACTGAACATACAGATATTCCATATGTGAATACACCTTATATATATTTATGTATATGTGTTTTTTGCATGTTGCATTTTGTTTTACCCATTGGACTGTGAGATCCTCAAGAAAAGGGACTATTTTTGCTTTTCTCTGTTTCCACAGCACTTAGCACAGTGCCTGTATATAGTCAGTGCTTAATAAAATCTTGTTGACCTGGTGTCATTTTCCAGTAAGGAAATTTGATCAAGAAATACAGCTTGATACCTGCTTTGAAATATATAGTCTTGGAGAACTGCCTAGGGAAACTTAGAGATTAAGTAACCTATCCTAGGTCTATGTTAGAGGCAGGGTTTGCATGACTGCCTTCCTGACCCCATGGCTGGCTGTTCTGTATTCAGTATGCCATGTTGTCTCTCACATACGTGTAAATATGTGTATATGTATATATACATAGGTACAAAACAATCATTTAGTAAAAGTACAACTTGACTGGGAGACAAGTGATGCATCTAATACACACTGGCTATTTTAACCTATGACAAGTCACTTGACCTCAGTGCCCAAGACAGTGCTCTGAGACTAGTGAAGGAAAGGTGTTGACCTGCATCGGAAGGGGTAGTTAATTTACCTGGGAGATCCCTAAACCAGTGAAATCTCAGGTCCAATCAATTCTTATCTCTATAACTTGACAACAATTTCTAAACAATGAAAATGCCAATTTTTAACACCAAATCATTTATTCCTCATCACCAGAGGAATGTCCAAGCAATAAGTAAATAACCACTGATTGTGGACATTATTAAAGAGGTTTATATTAAGTAGGATATTGAGCAATATAATCTTAAAGATTAACCCAGCTTTGACTCATTCTTTCAACTACAAGGTCCAAGGCAACTTTAGGAACTAACACAGCCTCATTCTATTCTAAGATCCTGCCATCTTTCTTTTGAGAGGGTAATCATTGAGGGTCTTATCTTTTCATTATAACCAGGAGGAGAAATCTATCCACAGTATATCAGGGACACAGCAATATACTAAATAAAAGGGATAAGGAGGAATGCTACATAGAATCAGAAAATAAAACCTTCAGTATAATTCCAAATTATTCCTGAATGCTATTAAACTTTGAATGAAAAGTCAAACAAAGTCTAAATGAATAATGACATTTTTCTGTTCAATAAACTAGTTCACCCTCTAACAGGTCCAATATGGAAAATATTCTACTTATATACCTGAGGACTTAAGTTTTATAGAATGCTATGTAATACGATAAACTTTTACTGAAAATAATTATCTTCGTGTTATGTCATGCTAGTATGAACTCTCCTCAGATAATTATATATAAAGAACATTGTGTTTCCTTATTGCTGTGTATAATCAGAAGATTAATTCATTTATGCAACTTTCAATTTTAAATTCAGATCTGCTAAGAAAAAAATCACTTCAGTTAATTGAATGTGGAAATTAGTTCATATTTTTATAGAACCTGAAAACTAGCAAGGGACTTAATATACCCAGTTGGGTTTCTGTGTCATTACAGCTCAGGTACACTTATATAGAATTGAATATTATTTATTTATACTTTTAGTTCAATTAAGCCAAAACTACTGATACCATGATGTTTGGTATTTGTGTGTGCATGTCTTTGTTTATGAGTATCCCAATTTAAGAGATAAGTTAATACTGAAATTATTACTTTCCATAGAATTGTAAACTTTTTAAATAGTAAAAATTATTATTAGTGGTGATTTAACTTATAATAAATCATATAAATATTCACCAATATGTTTTAAGTAAACATTTGTCTGCACAATGTGATTAATAGGATTTACTTTATAAAAGTTTAAGCACTGGGTTAACTTATTTTTTATCACTATTACCATTCTTTGAGACTAACATATTCTGTATCTCTTTACTTATATATTACATCCTTAATCAAATAAGTTCCTTAATTTAGAGATGTTGTCATCATTAGCAAGAAATTAATTTCCATCTCTGTTTTTAGTCATTGCATCAGTTACATAATTAAAATAAAATTTTCCACTCTAAAATGATATTAAATAAATATTAAAATAGCTTTCAACTGAACAGGAAAGCCACTTGAGAGTTATGTTTTAGTGTATCAATTAAAAGGCAACATAAAATTCATTTTGTTATGGTAAAAGTCAAACTTTCTGAAATATATTTTATTATTAATATCTTTCATTAGAAACTCTTGAAGCATAACATATAACTCAATAAAATCTAATTCTACAGTGTTCATTTAGAAAACTTTCCCTAACTCAGACGTATCACTATTCTAAATTGATTGGCAAGCTGTAGTTCTAGTTAGGGTGTGAAACTAGCCAAAATAGTTAGACCACGAATAGTAGTTTGCCAATCCAATCAAGATCCTGGAACCTTGGCTGTTAAGACTAATAAACAAATTTACCAGTCATGTCAGTTGGACAGGAAAACCTACCCATTACCTGGCAAGCCATAAGGGGAATGCCAGGAAAATAAATTCTAATAACTTTGTTATTCCTTTTATTTTGGTTTTAAGGGAGACTGACTGTGGTAGATGTAATTCTTACTCCAATTTGTATAGTATCCTGCAACAGCTGTATAGTCAATGACAATTGGTTATGATCTTATTGTATGCTTTATCAGGTGCTACAACTATTGAGAAGTATGACCTGAGAACAAATTTATGGATCCAGGCAGGAGTAATGAATGGCAGAAGGTTACAGTTTGGCGTGGCTGTCATTGACGAAAAGCTGTTTGTTATTGGTGGTCGGGATGGTCTGAAGACCTTGAACACAGTTGAGTGTTACAACCCCAAAACCAAGACTTGGACTGTTTTACCTCCAATGTCAACACACAGGCATGGTTTAGGTAAGGATATCAAAATTTAAAGATGTTTATATTGTGCATTTGCTTTGGTTTATAATGTAAAAATGAATGTTGAAATGTGCAATCACTATATCTTGTCAATTATTTGGAGGTGAAGGATCTGAATTTTGGTTTTATTTGAAGCAAATCTTGATTTATAGCTAAAATTGATGTAATAATAACTCTGGTTGTTTATATATTTTGTTGACACTACTTTTTCATCCATTTACTTTTACAATCAAGATGTGGAATGAAAGACAGCAGGAGTTTGAACTGAAGTCCTTTTAACACCTCTGCATTTCTTTTAAATCCAAATTAAATTTATTATCTCTAGATCATAATGAAAGTAACATATTATTAAACTACAGAAAAAAAAAGCAGTTCTGAGACTAGCAGAGTAAATTTGTCTGAGAGATGACGCTGTCTATTGTTGATGTGTAAAGAGGAAATTTGGGAAGAATCAAGTTGAGGTGCAACATTTTAGTCCTTCATAAATTAGCTATCTATGGCAAATAATTTGGTTATTTTTATTAGGTTACTTCAAAATTCTTTAAAATTTAAACTAAACAAAATATGGAATGTCTCAGCACCAGTAGAATGGCCACTAAGAAACTGATTCTTTGGACCTGGCTAGCCATAAAACAAACAAAAGAAAAGGGAAAAAATGGTCCTCAGTGTTGTGTCTATGGTGATGATGGCAGAGAGGCAAAAAGAGAAGATGAGAAGAAATTCGAAAATTTTAAGTTGTAAGTTTTATTTTAAATGTTGTTACCCTAAACATGAAACCATTGTCCAGTCACGCAAAGAGTTAACACAGTAATAGAAGAATTAAACTATGTCAATATTGTTAGTCTTGTTGAAAATAAAACCAAAAGATTTAAGGAAGTTGGAGCTAAACAGAAAAATGTCTCAAACTATCTTTTTGTTATTATCACAATCATCATAAATTCAAAGCTCAAAGGGACCTAAAAGTCCATCAAATCCAATCCTCTCATGTCAAAGACCAGGAAACTAAGACACAGATTGGCTACATGACTTGACCAAGGTTACACAGTGACTAAGTGTCTGAGACAGGATTTAAAACCAGGTTTCTTCTTGATTCCACATGTAGTGCTGTAGTTAAAGGGTAGAGTTTGGTCCTTTACATTGAAATGCAACAAGAAATATCCCATGGGACCTTTGTTCATCTTAATATTAAAAGCAAAATAATATTAAAAGCAAAAAAATATATACCTTAAATATATGTGTATATATCTTATCAAATGAAGGAAAAAGCAGGCGAAATCTTCCAATCAAGTCAATATGTACAACATTGATACTTGGTGATTTCAAAGCATATGAGGAGAACAATGAAAAATATTTTAGAAAATGGACTTTAGGATTAGAGAACAAAAAAGTCCAAAGGCTTGCAGATTTATGGAACTTTCTTACTGTATTGATACTACATATCAAAATTTTGTTAGTATATCTGGTTTATATATTTGTCTCATCTTTGTATTCTTTATGGCCATTTCCATTTCTTCCTATATTACATAAGCACTGAGGTATAAAAGGTCAAATATGTAGTTTCTAATTTTACTAATGATGGATGTACTATTCACCTCCTGTCTACCCATACACACATGCATATATGCTGACATATGCATATGAATATTTTAAAATTTTTATACCTCCCTTAAATTCTCTATGATCCTGACTACAACATCTTAGTAACTGAATTCTTTCTGACCGTAAGTAATATTTTTTCTATGACCTAGAAGGTTTGGATTTTGGTCATGATGATCTTGAAAGTTTTTATTTTGGGATTTCTTTAAGGAGGTAACTGGCAAATTCTTTCTATTTCCACTTTGCCATTTTGGTTCTAAGAGATCTGGGCACTTTTACTGAAAATAGATATACTGTCAAGGCTCTTTTTTTTTGGTAATAACTTTCTGATAGTCCTATGATTCTATCTCTTTTCAATTGGTTTTCCAGGTCTGTTTTTTTTCTAAGAGATATCTTATATTTTCTTCCATTTTCCAGGCTTTTGTCTTTGTTTTAATATTTCTTGTTATCTCATGGAGCCATTAACTTCTATCTCGTTCATCTAATTTTTAAGGACAAAATTTTATGTCTCTTGCGTTAAGCTGTTAATTTTATTTCCAAGTCTATCCTCCATAGCTCTCATTTGTCTCCCATTTCTTTCCTCTACTTTTCTTATTTCATATATAATATCATTCTTTCTCTGCCTCTCTGTCTCTGTCTTTGTGTCTCTGTCTCTGTCTCTCTCTCTGTCTCTGTCTCTCTTTCTGTCTCTCTCTCTGTATGTCTGTCTGTCTGTCTCTGTCTCTCTCTCTCTTTCTCTGTTTCTGTCTCTCTCTCTCTCTCTCCTCACCTCACATACCCCAGGAAATCTAAGCAAACTTGTTGTCAGACTGTCTTTTTATTTGAGCTTTTCCTTGAGGATATTTAGAAGTCATTTTCTTCCTGTGAATTATTGTCTTGGGCATCATTGTCATCATAATATTTTTATGATGGGGTTCTTTTTTTATTAATCTTTCTTCCAGCTTTACATCCCGAATTTGTACTTTACATCAGGGCCATGCCTGTGTACTGCTGGAGAAAACATTTGAGTCTTATTCTGCCCTGCTTTATATTATCTAGGTTCTTACTGTTGTAGAAATTGAGTACTATATTCTTCAGGGATTTCAGGGGCAGATTAAGCAGTGAAGTCAAAGTAGCCCAATCCAGGGCAAAGTTTGATTGCTTCCTTCCTGATTTGAACTTTGCAAGATCCTGACCTGTGTTTGGGTCTGAGCAACACAACTATAGTCTTGCACCTGTTTGGAACTCCAATAGATTGCTTCTAGACCAAATTGCTGTTAACTAGCTAGACAGTTCTATAGACTCAGAGTGATTGCTCTTAGACTGAGTTCCTTTCGCTAATTAGTCTGCTGCAGACTTTAAACTGGAATAAGGGATGTATCTGAGACTCTGCTCTGCTCCTGTAGGCAAAGACACACAATTGTTCCTTTTATTCCAGTTCCTTGCCCAATTCACAGCCTTAGTCCCATGACTGTTCTGTGCCCTTGTCCTCCACTCCCTATATGCAAGATTCCCACTCTGTGCATTTTGGATCTGTGAACCAGCTCTGGGATATGAGGAACACAGCTTCCCCTTTATATATTTTATATCAAAGCCCTTGGTTCTGCTACTAGGACCTCTTCTTGCCCTATTATGCAACTGATATCTTCAGTTTAATTTCCATAAATAAAGGGTTTCAGTTGTGCCTTTCTGGTCTGACTCCACTCCCCATTGTCTGAAAACCTCCTTGTTTGTCTCCTTGTACAGAGCATGAATAGAAAAAAAAAAAATGGCTTGCTGTGATTTTTTCTTGAATTTACCAGTTGAGTGTAATGTGTTTTCTGGGTCTTGGGGTAGTATTTGTAAAGGAAAGCAGGATTGTACTGTTTCAACCTACTCTACCATCTTGACTTGTCTCAAAGATTTTTTCAGAAAATACATTGGAGGTCTATACAACCTTCTCATGTCTTACATGTATTTCTCCTAATTGCTAATAAAAAGGAAATTTTAGAAGATATCACTTTGTCATGAATTGAAATTAGTAAAATGCTAATCAACTGGTGTGTAATGACATTGATTAGGATATGGTTTTCTTTAGCTTTCTTTCGTATCTCATCTTCTCCTAGAATCTAGGCAGCCTTCTATCCTCCTTTTTTTTCTTTTTCTTACCTAACTCCACCTATAACATCACAGTTTGAGGAATACTTACAGGAATATTTACATTTCAATAGAGCAATCATAAAAATATTATTAGGAATATTTCCCCATTGATGGAATTTTGAGCATTAGCAGGCTAATGAATGAGATGTTTGGGGTTAATGGAGGTCCTTCCCTATATCCTTTAAATCACAGCACATGTGAAGCTACTCACTAAAATGCTGGTGGTGATTATAATGAAAAGGAGGAAAAGGATGATTATATATAATATTATCATTTTATCATAATAACTATGATAACAAGATACTTTCCAATTATGCTTTTCCTACATTGAAGTAATGGAAAAAAATTAAAATAAAAAGAACATAAATGATATTTTGTATATTTTTTCTGCCCTGTGAAATGGGGGAAGTGGTGTGATATAGTAAAAAAAAATGTTTTATTTGGAATTGGAGGACATGAACAAATCTGACTCTCTCATTTGTTATAAACTATATGGTTGGGCAAGTCACAAATTCTTTAGGCCTTCATTTCTTCATCTTTAAAATAAAATCTTTGGACAAGATTATCTCCCTGGTTCATCTTCCAACTCTAATCTTTGATCTCATGATCTTTTGAACAATATTGGTTTATTGGTAATCATTTCCAAGGTGGTAAGTTTTAAAGCAACTTCTAAGACATGAGGTTCATATTGTTTTAAAATGTCCAAACTTGGGGCGGAGCCAAGATGGCAGAGTGAAAGCAGTGACTTGCTTGAGCTCTTCCCCAAACCCCCATAAATACCTAAAAAAACGACTCAACAAATTCTAAAGCAGCAGAATCCACAAAAAGACAGAGTGAAACAAATGTCCAGCCCAAGACAACCTGGATGGTTGATCAGAAAGGTATAGCGCACCAGGCGGGGAGAGGAGCGTAATTCTGTGTGGGCACACAGGCCACAATGAACCTGGAGCAGACCTCAGAGGACTGAATCATGGGAAGCTGTGGTGGTTTCCAAACTTCTCAACCCACAAACACCAAAGACAACTTAGAAGGTCAGTGGGAAAAGTTTGTGACTGCAGTGAGAGACTAGCTAGGTCTCAGCCAGGGGCCACAGCTGTTTCCTGAGCTTCTGACCCACAGACTGAGGGGGGATCAAGTTGCTGATCAGAGGGGTATTGCAGGGATCTCTGCTGGTGCTGAGGTAGGAATCTGGTCACAGTCCTGAGGGGTGGTCCTGGGGTGAGGAAGAGCCCTGGTATGGTGAAGATTGTTGTGGCTGTGGAGAGGAAATGCCCTAACCC